GGGGGTCCCAAATCCTGGCGGGGGTCCCCGACTTTTCCTGGGGGGGTCCCCGTCACAGCTTTGGGATAATGGGGGGGGGGGGTCCCCAACCCTTCCTAGGGATGTTTGAGGGGGTCCCTGTCCCTGTTTTGGGGGTCCCAGCCCTGCCCGAGGGGGTCCCCAACCTTTCTATTTCTGGGGGTCCCTCCCCAGCCCTTCCCGCTGGAGTTTTTTTCCCCCCTGGGGGTCCCTGTCCCTATTTTGGGGGTCCCCAACCCTTCCTGGGGGCGTCCTGTCCGTACCGTGGGATAATTGGGATGGGGTCGCTGTCCCACCGTGTCCCTGTCCCTCCTTCTTGGCACTTGGTCCCATCCATGTCCCCAACCCCTGTCCCTGTCCTGTCCCTGTCCCCGTCCCTGTCCCTGTCCTGTCCTGCTCGCTCCCTGGCCGCCCCCCGTCCTCTCCTCCCTGGAGGTCCCTCAGTCAGGGTCCCTGGGGGTCCCTGTCGCTTCTTTAGGGGTCCCTGTCCCTGGGGGTCTCTGTCTCTGTCCTGGGGACAATCAGTGTCCCTGCCTGTCCCCATCCCTGGGTCCCTGCCTGTCCCCATCCCTGCCTGTCGCTGTCCCTGAGGTTCCATGTCCCTACTTTAGGGGTCCCTGTCTCTGGGGGTCCCTGGGCGCCCCTGTCTCTGCCCTGGGGCATCCCTGTCTGTCCCCACCCTGGCTGTCCCTGAGGATCCCTGGGGCGTCCCTGTCTGTCCCCACCCCGGCTGTCCCTGTCCCTGGGGGTCCCTGTCTGTCCCCCCCGCTGTCGCTGTCCCCTTTTTTTTGGGGTGGGGGTCTCACCCTTGTATTTCTTGGCGCTGGGGATGCGCGTGAGCTTCGTGTCCACCTCGTCCTCCTCGGAGATCTTGAGCACCTGCGTGCGGTACTGGACAACCTTGGTGAGCAGGTCCGGGCGCCGCGAGATCTCGAAGATGTGCTCGATGTAGGACAGGTTGTCTGTGACACGGGGACAGCGCGGGGACAGCGCGGGGACACACACGGGACACACACGGGACACACACGGGACACGTGCTGGGCTCGGGCCACCCGCGCTGCGGCCGCGGGGGCCCAGAGGGGGCGGGGATGGGGACAAAGGTGGGGACAGGGAAGGGACAGGATGGGGACAAGGG